ATTTCCTGCTTCTTCGCCATTCAGTTGTCAAGACTACTGGGTTGTGAGTATTTAGAGTTTCTGCATACATCACTTTAAGATACGCTTTAAAGAAACTGCACTTATTCCTCATTCTACAGAAAGGTTAGGAATATAACACGAAACTCAAAGATTGTTCCATAATCAGCTACAAGAAAGATTACTCTCCCTGAAGTTTTCAGACTACCAGACTAAGGTGCATATGATACACTTGAACAGGAACAAGAACACTTGTTTTAAAAACCATAGTAACTGAAAAAGAATACCTTGAGTTAGCAAGAGAAAACTATCCCTTCTGGGAAAAAACAAAACAAAACAAAAATGCACACACAAAATAGCATCATGTTCCCTAAACTAGGGGATACAACTACAAAGCTTTTGCTTTCCAGAGACTGATGTACGGGTATGGAGGATTTTCCTGGCATCAAGTTACTTTTCAGAAGTCAATTTATCCACTATTTGATTCTTTGAAAAGGACTTAAAAATAAAAGTAATAATTAGAAAAAGTCTCCAAAACAAAATGTGGCATCCCCCTCCCCTCACACCTTTTAGGTCTGTTCAAGGCACTGCCATTTACACTCGGTTCAAACTGCACTTGCCCATCTCCTGTTAACAGGTAGAGCCACATGAACCACCAGACCTACAGCCTGGCTTGACCGCACAAGGTGTTTAGGTACCCTGGGAGGAAAGGAGAGGGAGTAATCTAAGATGGCAAATCACACCCACTGCTGGGAAAAAGGATATGGATTGTGCGTTTGTGTGTATATATATGTATATGTATGAATGTATGCTTATGGCACACCTTGTTTTTACTGGGGGAACAGACGTACGCTGGAGCTGGGCAGCTGCCCGAGCTCGCACCACACGGTTCTGTGGCGGTTACAGGAAGAGGGAAAAAAGAGGGGGGATAAAAAAAAGCCCGAGTCTAACCTGCGGATTTGAAAGACTGATCTTTATTTAAAGTTTTATCCCTCCCAACCACGAAAATATCAACGCTTCTGTACCGGACAGGCCTTAAAACCAAGGGAAAGAAAGGATAAAACATGAGCTAAGTTCTGTGCCTGTGCCTAAGCAGTCACTAGCTCTTAACACACGCCAGTTGCACTTGGCTTTCTGCACCACTCCTTGGTCTTTCTCCACATCCCGCTCCCCTTCCTCCCCTCCCGCCTCCACGGCGCCCCTGGTGTACAGAAATACAAACCCACCCAGATACAGAGATAAAACCTCTCAAGTCACCTCCAGATTATTTTGTTCTCAATAAATAAAAATAATAATAATAAAGAAGGGACCTACCTTTCTAAATCCCTTCTGTACTCCAAAACCTGGAAGCTATTTCCGTGCTACAGATGTAAACAGCTGTTCGCTGAGCTCAACTGGAGGAACAGCAGTGAGACCCTCTAGAGGCCTCGGGAGTTAATTCCCATTCCTCCTTCCTTCTCCTTCCCGCCTTTCTCGCTCCCTCTCTCCCCAGCACGAGCAAGGAGAGGTCTCCAGCAAGGAGGGGTTTTACAAAAAAAACTCAAAAAAAAAAAACTCAGCACAAAACTCAGCAGTGCCGTGTGGAATAAGGTAGACGCGTTGACACGGGACCAAGCGCCCCACGAGGACGACAAGGCTGCCCCCAGGCCAGCCCCAGTCTCTGCAGAGGCGCGGGCAGAGCTGGAGCCTTCCCCTCTCTCCTCCCTGGGGTCGCGTCTTCCCCAGATGCTTCTGTCAAGGGCTCCAAATTCAGCTCAGCTAAACTCACAGCACCTAGTTCAATGCCCAGGGTGGTTCTTGTCTCTGGCACTACATGCCCAAATATTAAGTTTTATTTTCCAAATGTGCAGGAACTGCCTCTCCCTAACTGGATCACAGTGCTCACGTAGAAATAGCAACAGGAACAACTTATCCAAGAGGCTGCTCTGTGCCAGGCAGGTTTGAGGTACTAGTCCAGACAGGCACTAGACCCAAGACCACAGTCCTTTTTGCATCACTGTTTATGAACAGAGAGAGATTCATTTTCAATAGGTAAAGATGGACTACCCTTTGTGAGGTGAGCTCACTACAGCTAGCTACGGACAAGACTATTACACAATGTTAATTTTTAGCAATGCCTTTTCAAGGCTGCAGCTTCACTTGATTGTATGGGAGAGCAACCAATCAAGTATGCCAAACCTCTCCTATTCCACTGATATCACTGCTGCATTTAGTAAACGTGTGACAGGAAGCAGGCCGGGTCTAAAATTGCTGCAGCATTTCCAAAGGAGCCAAATTTGTCCTGCGTGACTTCAGCGGAGTGAACGCAGCCGCACGGGACGGGGAGCGAGCGCGGCCAGCGCCGTCCCGCCGCTCACATTCCTCCTCTCATTGTGAAGGGCGCCCAGAAACAAAGCTAAAAATACCCCACGCGAAGCAGAGAAATGGTCACCTCTCGGCGACAGAGCAGGCAGAAATGGGACCCGTGACTCGGGCTAAGGCGCCGGACGGGATCCCCTGCACAGGGGGCACAGGGGTCGCGGCCACGTGGCTGCTTCCCGACGTCCTGCACGAGCCTTGCACATCCCAGCAACCCTGCACTGGCTGCACAGCTGTGCAGCCCATACTGTGCAATACTCAGCCCCGACAGGTAACGACCCAGTGTTGCTCGGCCTAAAGGAAGGCCAAGCACAGGCTGTCCTTTTGCCACGCGCTGCTCTGCAGTGGTGGTGTGTACACGCACAATACTTCTCATAGTGGACTGACCCCGCAGCTGGGGACCGAGCCGCAGACCATCCGCAGCGTTTGGGCCGCAGCAGGGCAGGAGGCCGCGAACCGAGCCGCAGACCATGGGCAGCGTTTGGGCCGCAGCAGGGCAGGAGGCCGCGCAGCTGCTGTCCGGGCTGCCGTGCCGACCCCGCCGTGTCTCCGTGTGCCCGCGGGCAGGGGCCGGCGCCGCACGGGGCCAACGAGACGGGCAGGTGCCTGTCCCCCGAAACCGCTCACTTTGTCGAGCAAAACCTGGGAAGTGCAGACACGCGATTTGCTTCCTTTGCTTACAAGGGAACCTTTCCCACAGTCCAAGTAGATAAAGCAGCACGCAGGTGCTTTTGCCATTCCCAAACCTTGATCCTTTGTGTTAAATCAAGAACACCTGTCACCCGCTTTGACTCTTCATCATCATCTCTTCTCTCCACCCTCTGCTCTCTACTAAAGGCCCACATTCCAATTTACACAATCCTGCCTTTTCAAAACCTTTTCCACTGCCCTTCTGGAAAGGAGCACGGACATGTAGCCAACGGCAGTGCGATGGCTCCAACACCTATTCCCATCTATCCCTGCTCCCCTAGTAGCATCCCTCACCCGCTGCAGAGGCAGGAAGAATTGCTTTTTTTCCCCTCTCTCTAGAAGATCTTACCCTGTCCTTCTATCTGTGGTGTTTTTACGTATATGTGATGCTCTACAACTTAACACTGCCTTTCCTTGCGAGCTGGGACGGTGAAGCCATTCCCAGGAAATACTGTTCTCTGCGCAGTGTCAGTCCCACAAGTTCATTACACAAACTTACTTGCAGCAGCATAAATCTGCTCCTGGCTCCCTGCTCTGCTGTGCTGGGAAGGGAAGAAAGAGCCCAAGGCATCCCAGCCCCTTTTGGGCGAGGGGAATGAATGTCCTCTAAGTTCCCTGAGAAATCCTGGACATCTGTTTGGCTTTCACTGCATGTGGGACAGACCCGGACCAGAGAGGAGCTAAACAGAATATACTTGGCAAGCGCTTTAGCTGCTCAAAGAGACGGAGGCAGGTACAGCAGAAAGTCAAACAGAGCTGAAAAAAAGCTACACTCACAGAAATTTATTTCCAGTGCATGTGTTTTTAGCACCAAATGTACACCATAGCATAGGAGATGACGACACCACAAGGAGCCCACTCAAAGGTATTTAACACCTATGTGTAAGCTGGTTCTTTTAAAAGGCTCCTTTGAATGCTAGTGCTGCCACTGACACCACAAGCACAAGTCCTCACTCCCATCTGACTCCACAGCCTCATATGGAGGCACAGAAAAAAAGGAGAGTGTCTGGAAACCTCTCTTGCACTTTACAGTTCTTCCATTTCAGTCATAGCTCAAGGCAAACTCATGGGCAACGAAGCATTTATGATGCAGTCAGGATCATCACGTAACCTGTGCAGCAGATACCTCTACACTCCAATTTTCCTTTATGGAGCACATATGAGCAAATAGGGATGACAGGTGGCTAAATTATTCACCACAAGAAATAAAAACTGAGGTGACAAGGAAAGGCCTCCTGTCAGAGATTTCTTCACACTGTGACAGCACCTGCAAGATTCACTTTGCTATAAGCTAAACAAGCACATATCAGAGTCAGCATCTTATCATGAAGGATTAATATAAGAGGAGTTTCCCCAACTTTTTACTGGGAGTTTTAAGACTGATACCTTAATGTTTCCACTTCTCATTAAAAAGAGGGAAAACATACTTCAAATACGCAAAGGACAAAAGTTTCACGTGCTTCACTTTGATCCTCATAGCAGCCCTCTGTCTCTGAGCCTAAGCCAGGAACATGTTAAGAACCGCAGTTCTCATTCTGCTCCATCCCGTGAGGAAAACACTGCTAATATTCTTTCCATCGCTGATGCACAGTTTTTACCCACACATTGTATTTTCACTTAGAATGGGAACGCATCACCAAGACTTGCTTTCCTCCCCTTTTAAAACAGGGATTGGGAGGTCAGATCAGCTGTGCAGGTCAGTAGCAGCAGCACCCAGGTCTCCTGGCTCTGGCCATTGCGCTGGGTTTCCCAGCGAGGGGGAGAAGAAAACGCACAGACACACGCACAGACACTGACACAGGATCTGAAGCAGTGACTTGGGCAAGTCCGCAATTCCCACTACGGTACTGTGGGCCATCGCTGCTAAGGTGCAGGTGCTCAGTAGCCTTCAGGATGAACATAAATGTAATCTTGAAAAGCAAAGCTTGGGAAATCTAATTTTACATTAAAAACACTGTAAAGATGAGTTATTTCAGGCTTTTTAGAATTCAAAAACCACCTCCATTTGCACTGATCAAAGCACTGTACTTCTGTGTTTCTAACTCTTCACTTTCCTGCTTTCCCAGCTCCACAAAGACTGTCTAAAACAAAACGAGAAGACACTAGGCACTCTGCACTGCTCCTGACAACTCCTCTTCTTTCCTGCACTTCTAAAACCTCTGACTTGCACCCTCTGCTTTCCTGCTGCCATGGATAAGGTGCAATACATAACCCGCTCCGCTCTGAGGAGAGCCTCAACTATTGAGGTGAACCCGCAAGCTCGCCAGCGGCTCCAGGAGCTCTTTGTGAATTTCTGCCTCATTCTGATCTGCCTCTTGCTCATCTGCATCATCGTGATGCTCCTCTGAAGCTCCGGCCCTCCCCCGCGCCGCCCGCTAGCAAAGCTGCCCCACGGCAAGAGCGCGGCCCAGGTTGCTCCCACCACAGGGAGCCGCTCGCGGGAGAGGAGCCCGCGCGGGGACTAGTGCCGCGCCGCCCGCGCGCCCTCCTCCTGCTGCCCGCCCAGCACCCAGCGCCGTGCAGACCCGCGGCGAACCCGGACTGGCCTCGGCAGACAGGGAGAGACCTTTCCCGAGCGCCGGGAAGCGCCGCTCCGGCCCCAGGCTGGCGGCCGCCTCGCGCAGGCAGCAACCCCGCTTCGCGGGGCGGGAAGCGGGAGGGACACCTGAATGAGCCGGGGTTTCTCTGAAAAATTTTAAGCTCTTGGTCCTGTTTTAAAATTAGGCCCAATTCCACACACACACACACACACACACAAACAAACATACACATAGATTTGAATACATCATAGAAAAACAAAAAATCCAAAAACTTCTCAACAGAATATGGCATTAACTCATAACTATTTATCCCTATTTAAGGTATCTGAACAAAAAATAATGACAACTTCAACTACGTAATTTGCCACAGTTCCCCTGTCACTAGATACACTTGCCTTACACAGCAAAATGACACGCAGAAAGGTTTTTCACAATGTTTTTGCAGAAAATGGAAGCCACTAACTGGGCTTCCAAGTTCTCATTTTCCGTAATCAGTGAACTAGCCTAACAACTGGCCCAATGAAAAAGACAAGAAATGCTCCAAGTTCTCAACATTTGGCTTTCAGCAACTCTAGCACAGTGTGCTCCAATCTATCAGAAATCTCCTTAGTTTAAAACTACAGAAAATCTGTTATTTGTCAGTGCCGCTCAACGTGACTTACCATGGATATAGTAAAGATGTTTGGACTGCTATTCTGAGGAAAGTTCTCATAGGTGTAACACCGCTACCCTCAACTGCAAATGCCTGCTAGAGAACAGACAAGTGTTTTGCTGAAATAAGTTATCCATATATCGGAGGGAAAACTTCTTTCAGCCTGAAACCATAGAATATATACATCTATACACATGTTTTCCACTTTTGCAGTTCTCCGTAACAAGGCTGAGCACTAGACTGGCAGAGCTCCCATGTCTTCCTGGCCTAAACTCTAAATTCTGAAGAACCGCTTTCAAATTTAAACAAATCTCAAAAACCAACAAATAGAGGTCAAAGGGCTAGCTACTTTTAACAGCAACTTATACCTTCCCCTAAACCTTCCTCTGCAAACAATCCTAGTGATAAATACAGGAAAAGAAAACAAGCTGATCTTCATCTTGAACTCTGCCTTAAAGACTCAACACGCAGCACTTCAAAACATAAAACCTACTCAAATCTGGAATTCATCAATGAAGATCATACTAGACACTTGACATCATTCTCTCTCATCAGAAAATTACCTTCAGTATGGAAATCTTAGTGGCACATTTTCCCCATTATTTCCCTTTTTTAAGAAAGGGAGAAAAAAACAAATGCAGGAAACTACTTAGGTGGGGAAAAGTAGGCAAACTTAAGTTACTTTCCTTTCTTAAAAAAAAAAAATGTTTTTGTGCAAGGATAGGGCTTCCAGTTTCTGTTTTGCTTAAAAGCAGTTTCAAAAGACTTCCACCAAAACGCACAGTATCTTTGCAATATTGAAAGCACTTCTAAAATAAGTTTTCTTTGAAATAACCTGAAAAGTCATTATTTATTTAAGAGCCGTAAGAAGCAAGAACAAAACCAAGATATAAAGAAACTGGAAGCCCTAGCGCTATGTCACACAGCGCAGATAAACCGCGGGTACTGCTGGGACACATCAGTGTCTTACCGTTTGGCTGAGCTAAAGCCAGCTAGCACACCCCATGCTGCAAAGTATCAGTCAAAACAGATATTTAAAAATGCCTTCTGTACATAGAACATTCTTCTTTGTATACTTACGAGACCTTTAAAACTAGCACCTACTGCATTTTTTGTTAAAATAATTGCTTGAAAAGATATTGATGCTTTAAATTAGATAACCAAATACAATCCAGTTTAGAAAGAAGTATCCACTGTAGCAGGTATTTATAACTTTAATTTATGTGAGAGAACCAGCAATCATGAAGCTTTCCGATTCTTTATTTATGCTGCTTTGGTTTTGAACAGTGAATTTGCTTACGCTGCTATGTCCAAATCACTTATGTATACTTAACTTTCACTCGTCAACTACTGCACATAAACTATCGTAAGGAGTTTTATGAAAGTTGAAGCAAAATGCTCACTACATTTATGAGGCATAATAATAAAAATTCCAAACGTAAGAGGTGGCTCGGGTTAAGTTTTCATTTCTGTTTCACTTCTCTCCGTGCTATGTATTTTTGTCTTCCACTAAGATAACGAAAAAAATAATTATGGGAAGAACAATACAAGCCTGTCCCTTTCTTAAAACCCATAATTCAGTTCTTAATTCCTGACTCAGGCATAAGTGACAGCCACACCGGTGGCAGTTTTATGCCGCTATGGCATTGAATAAGGCACAAAAACGTCTTTGCTGCTGCTGTTATTCTTGGTGGGGGGAAAGCATTTGTTTGCTCTAAAAAAATTTTTTTCCCACCCAGAACTTTAGCAAATACTGATAAACCTACCCATATTCCATCAAGTGAGAGATTCATCCATTTTGGAATTAAAATTTTGTTCTGATCAAAAGTAGCCAGTAAAGGCACTGAAAGGGTAACGAGCAACAGCCCTTCTTTATGAGCTTTTCCGTATCAGGTTTGCAATGACTGCCCTCACTAGCAGGACTGAATCATGCAGTGCAAAGTGTAAAACAGGCTTAAACAACATTTTCAGAAAACACGTGCAAAACAGTCTGTGTAGCCTTTCCAGTGCAATGAGCTTATACATAAGTTTTGCTATACATGCATGCAAAAAAAAAATCATTCATGTCACGTATGTATGTCACACCCTTCATGTCATTCATTTAGCAGATCTGCCTTAAATCCTTGTTCATTTCTCCTAGTATATCCTATAGATTACAAATCAGCCTCCTACATTCATATGTCCATTAGTAGTATCGGTCAGAATAAAGCTAGGAAATATTTGTGAAGTCCTCTACAATAGATAGATATACTTTATCTAACATTAAATATAGTCACTTTTGGTTTTCATCTAGATCCTAAAAAGGGGGTGAGGGCGGAAGAGGGGGAAGAAGAGAAAGGGATTGTTTATGGAAGGAGATGAGTGAAAATCTTTTACTCCTGTAAGGATTCTTATAAAAGCTGATACTCAATGAAAACAGTAACAATAACAAGGTAAAAATAGGTGGTTTAAGAGTTTTATAGACCTAAGTGTATTCATTTATTCTACTTTCTGACAACCATGTAGACTAGTTGCCCCCCTCCCTTTTTGGCACAACAGTGCCAAGCGTTCAGGTCGTCCCTAAACCCCACAGCTGTGAAACGCTGCCCTCTGGTGACCCTCCTTAGCAATCTCAGCTGGTTACTAGAAGGACCCGATTGGTTTACTTTGCACGTCTGTGCGCACGCGCATGTGCGTGTGTATAAACATATATAAGCCATGATTGCTAAGTGACGAACATGAAATTAAACTGTTGCATATGTGCTACTAGAAGCGCTCTGCCAACTTACCATGGCCTCTTAATAAGGCATTTGCAAAGCTGCAATGAACCCCACACACCAGAAGGCTTGCAAAACACAACCTGCCCAACGCTAAGCCCTAGGAGGGTAGTAGAAGCTCCTATTAATAGAAGTATATTGAGTTCAGAAGTATATGAGTTTTTGTTTTGTTTTGCAGCTATAGAGATCTTTTGAAAGTAAATTTTCTATGCTCTATGGCCGAAAGGTTTTCAGAAAAATGCTCCAACAAGAATTCAGATAGATCTGAACGTGATCACACACATTAAGAAAATAAAAGTCACTTATATACACACACCATGGATAATTAAAGTCCTTCCATTATTCAGGTCTTCAGAAGCGCAACAAGGAAATATTTAATATCATTAACTTGAAAGGCCTCCTCCTGTTTGTTTTCTCCTTAAATAAAGAGGTAATTTTTAGAGGAAAAAAAATGAAAAGGTTTCTAGGAGCATCTAGACTCTTTTTTTCAAGACCCAGTCACTGCAGCTGGTTTTTCCCTCGCAGGTGGCTGACAGCGGAGCAGGGCACCGGCCTGGACCCCAGCCCACGCGCTGCCGACGCGCTCGGCCCCGAGCCGGCCGCCCATGGATCTCGCTACCAACCGGGGCCTCAACTTGCTGCTCAACTTCCTGCTCATCGCCCTGGTGCTGGTGCTCACCTTCCTCCTCGTGAAGCTGCTGTGAGCGCCGGCGGCGCCGCGACCCGCTCCGGGGCTGCCCCGCAATGGTGACCTAAGCGCGGGCACCCACCCGAGCACAGACGCGAAGGGCTGCGCAGGCTGACACACCTGAGGGCTGCAGGGCGCTCACGGACGCGCTGCAACAGAAAGCCAGCCCGAAAGCTACACGTCTTGCTGGGCCTGCCGCTGACTGCAAGAGGCACACAGTGCCCTGCTGAGTACCAGCAGACACCCATACACGTGTAGGAAGTAACTGCAGTGTTCTTGCTGCTACAGCTGCTTTCTATGCATCTGCAGAGCTGCACCCTTCAAGGAACACCATTTCTGCAGAGAGGACAGCAGAAATCCAGTTTCGAATACACGATTGCCCTCAACAACATCCTTCACAGGAAGGAAGGTAGAAACAGGGCAGGTGGGTGCAAGGAAACACCTGCACGGGGCTGTCAGCAAGTACCAAGTCACCTGGGGAAAGAGGGAGCGCAGCCGCAGAACGCGGCAGCTCGCAGCGGCCGAGGCGTGGACGGGCTCTGCTCAGAACAATTATTAAGTGCAATTATTGGTTGCACTTTCCACAACACACAGGGTCCACAGCAACACTTCAGAAGCCAGAAGCCCCAGTGCCAGGCAGCAGGATCAAGAGGAGGAGCGGGCCGAGGAGGAGGAAAGCAGAACCACGACCCAGCGCTGCCCGGTGCCGCGGCACAGCTTCCTCCAGCACCTCTGCGGCCCC